GATTATTTGACAGGAGTTTTACTTTTAAACTATAAGTGTATTTAATTTAGTTATGTTAGTTATGATAGTTTAGTTATGATGTAAATACAATAAAATTAAACCAATATTTAGATTAGAATAATTACCATTTTGATCCATACATTAGTAATGTCTGACTGGGCCTRGTGCCACTTTATGTTCAACAAATTGGGCCCCGAGGTCAAAAAGGTTAAGAACCCCTGCTCTGAGCCATAGYGTATAACTTGTTTTGATCAAAATGACTATAACTCCATCATTTCTCAACATAAGGTGGTCTTAGTTTAAATCTCTGCCTTTAAAGGCATGTGGTATACAAGCATAGTATAAAGTATACAGCATAGTGCAGGGTCATTCAACTGGCGGCCCGGAGGCTACATCCGGCCCATGAGTGACCAAAGTTTGGCCCGCCAATTGGTTCATTCATCTCTTCAGCCCAAACTCCTGGTTTTCTACTTTAACTACTCTTTCTTTTAGTTAAACATAGACATGTTTGGTATCAGAATCTTGGCTACAAGCTGGTAAAAACATTTCTATGAACACTCAAGACAGTTAAAACTACAAGTAGTTCAAGATAAAACTATGAAAATAAAATTGGTTTAAAAATTWGACAAGTCAGAGATGTCAAAATAATATTTACGTTAAATAGGAGGCATAATGTCTTATTTTTGTTTTTGATATTGTTGAATTATGACTACTTTTATAGGGTTCTGTATGRTGTATTCATGGTTAAATACAGCAAAATAAACTATTTCAAAGYTAACAGATCTTTGTAATACTTGGTTTATTTACATAATGACCGTAATTAATGGATGTTCGGCACCTGAGTTGTTGACCTGCAGTAACTGTGGCCCCTGGAGCAGTTTAGTTGAATAGCCCTGTCACAGTGCCTATTTGACCAGGATATTAGATTGTTTACTTGGCCCTTCAGCATGAAGAATAAATCAGATTGTCAAAGCTCGGATGCTGTTCCTTCAGCAGATATTCAAGTTCTTTTTTATCCTGTTATTCCTCAAAAACAGCTTAGGTTCTTCCAGTTTATTTCTGCCAATATAACCTGAAATTAAACTCTATTTCAGGGAGTTCCTCAGTCTTCATAAACTTCAGACACCCTTAGTTTATTCAAAACCTTTTCTCATCTATTATTTCTCCTGTTGAATTACATACCTTTACAGGGTAATGGTTCCTTGAAGGGTCAAACTCATCGAAGCAGACTTGTTTATAATACAGGAAGTCCTCGCGGCCGTCAAAGAACTGCAGCATTTCTCTCGGTGACAGCACTGTCCTCACCAGATCGTCACTACGACCATAGCAGCTGAACTCCATCTCTCTCTCCATTCCTGAGCTCAGAGATTTCCATCTGTGAGCTGTATTCTGTCCCCATACTTGTAGAGCTACACGTAGTGACAGATAGCTAAACAGATGTGCTGAATATTGAAAGAGCTGAATGA